GACGAAGCGAAAATGAGTAAATGAAGCAGGTAGATGAAGAAGAAGAACGAAGCTGAAGTGGGCCCCGAACTCAAACGCAAACGCAAAATTTCAATTCATTTTACGACTCACTATTTCACCTGAGGAATTTATTCTTCTTATTTGCACCCCATTTCGGTTCATATATCTCTATTTCATTACATCTTCGACACATTCCATCCCATCCTATCCCATCCCATACATTTTATATATATTAGTTTTAAGTTTTGGTTAGGAGTTAAGTAAGAAGTAACACGTTGGCAGGGAGGAGGGCGAGGAGAGCAGCTGGTTTAGATGCATTTGACCGCATTGATACACTAGCTTTATTTTGATTAACATATCATATCGTAACATCATACTTATTATAGTTAATTTAATTTCCTTTCTTTCTCATTGCCTAGGCTGCTTTCTTTCGTCTCTAGATCATCGTGAACATGACGACGGTGTAGGTAATAGGCGACGGGAGGCATAAATAGGGTTACATTAGATTCTTGGGACGTATATTACAAGCCTGAAAGAGATGCAGGACAGGATGGAGCAGGAGATGGAGGGTGAGAGAGATACAGGTATACTCGGTGTGGTGAGGGTGGGATGGAATGCCCATGAAAGCGACCATAAAAGCGAAACAAAGAGACGAATTCAGTTCGTGCGTTAACGTGCTCGTGATCCCAACCGTGCCAATGTATCATCGCTCGATTCTGTTTCTTCTATTTGGTCCGATTGGGCAACCTGTCAGAACGTTTGAGTAAGATTTTGGCATCGAAGGAGGAGGAAGAATGAGACATACGACGCGTAAGACGGTCTTCTTGGAGGATTCTTGGATCTCGCCGGCGATGATTAGTTCGTCTAGGATCTGTGCGGTGCATGTGTTAGTACACGAAGGTGAGAGGAGAGGAATGAGGACGTACGGCATAGGCTTTTTGGAAGTTGAAGATCCTGTTACGAAGCGAGATGAATATGATCGTTCGAATACACGAAAGGAGAAGAGCAAAACTCACAAGTCCAGTTCGCAGACCTAATCTCATCGTACATTAATCCAACAAAATAGAGAATAGGAGACAGACAACACACATTGCCAAAGTACCGATCCAGAACCTCCACATATCGATGGATGATTTCCAGCGTCACGAGCTCGTTATCTCCCGCCGTGATCCCACAGACGAAGAATAGGGAGGCATAGCGTCTATAAACGACCTTCGAATCTAATCCATATGTCAGCTCATCCTTCCCATGATGCCATTCGTTCCATAATCAGAGAAGGGATATGAGATGAAAACGCACCTTTGTATTCCAAGAAATTACACATCCTGGTGCGGCGGGCGAGGACGAGCTGGGTGACGTCTTTGACGATTTTGGCCTTGGTTTTTGGCGGGAGGGTGGTGAACCATTTGGCTAGGCGGACTTTGCCTATGAGAGATTTAGGTGGAATATGTATATGAGTATGCTTATGTGGTGGAAAGAGAAGGGAGAGACGTGCCTTGCCGGGATACGAGGAGGATGTAGCTCATCATCTTGGCAGCGGATTATTTGGGGTGAGACTTCTTTTGCTGTTTGTAATGGTGGGGTGGTTTGGTATATTTGGGTGCTGTAGAAGACGTTGCACCAGCAAAGAAAGTAATAAGTAGATGCAAGCGAACGGTCTCGGAAAGCTGGCCCACGATGGCGTGACAGGTCCTCGTCACATCACACAGGGACATCGGTGATTGGACGAATGAGAGTTATGTATAGAACTGAAGCGGAAGCTGTTACTCACTCTCAATCCCGAGGCATATTTGCAGAACATATTATAACTGTCTTCAACGACATAGGAATGTCATTCAGCTTACTCAATTTTCATATTATGGACTCCGGATCGCAAGCACGGCCCGAAGACGTGAACTCCTAGTAGAATTTCTACGTACTCGTAGCTCGATGAAATCACGACATTTAATACTGTATTATATTATTTCTAGGCTAGTCCTTCCCCATATATCTTTCTCTTTCTGCGCATCAGTGGCTCCTTTGCTTCATTTCTCCACACAGACAGCCTGAGCCCGAGCTGGCGTCCAGTCCTACTTCTGACCGCACGCCCCTTCCTGCCCGATCGTAATAATAATGGTTACAGACGACTCACAAGGCCCATCTCGACTGCAAGCCTTTATACGAGGCAGAAAACTGGTCCGAAGGATATTATGCCTGCGAATAGGAGAATGATCCTTGCGGGTGAGTACTCCATCTGCCATTCCATCTGATACATGACTCAATAATTTAATATTCGGCAACCAGTCGTATCTTCAATCTCCTCCGAATACCAACGCTCCCATCAAGCTACTTGGCTGGGTACCTCGTGAGTCCATTTCGCCTGTATCTTCCAACGTGCTTACTGAGAGGACGACGATCACACGAGGTTCCTCCTCGCAACATGCACATTCACGCCTCTCTACGGTCGTCTCTCAAACGTAATGGGTGGACGAGCCGCGAATCAGTCTGCTGTACTCTTTGCAGGCTTAGGAACCTTGTTTTGTGGATTGGCTACTAGTATGGAAACATTTATTGCGGCGCGTTTCGTGAGTAATGCCCCAGATTATTTATTATATACTCTGCTAATTGTTTTATTTTGTTTCTGATCTGAAGTCTGCTAGTATAGGCGATGATGGAATATACACAACTGCAACTGTTATTACGTGCGATATGTATAGTCTGAGAGATAGGAGTATGGCACAAGGTATTGCCAGTATTTTCAATGACGTGTGTAGCTTTACTTCTGGGGCGTACGCTAAATTTCGTCTTTGGCTGGTGTGGGTATCCGTGGTCCTCTTGGTGGTTATATTGCGGATAACTACGACGTGTGTCTATCTTCTTTATGATATTCGATGATTAATGTTCCCAGGTTTGGCTGGCGTTGGGCTTTTCTCATCCAAGTTGCGCTATTCGTTATCTCCTACATGTTGACTGGTTATAACCTTCGTTATATGCCGGTTCGTGACTCTTCCGTACTTCTACTATAACATACCAACTAATTCCATGACTTTGCTTAGGGACGCGGCAAGAGTGTTAAGGAAGTCTTAGGAAGAATAGACTTACGACGGAAGCTTAACACTCTTGATCTCTGTACGTCCCTTCTCGATCATTGAAGAACAACATACTAATGGTATTACAATAAGACGGGCTCTCTCCTTTTCTTCCTCTCATACAAATACAACGAAGAAATGCCCTGGTCGTCAATATCAGTCATCGTCGCCTTATCTCTCTGCGTCGTCACATTCATTCTCTTCGTTTTGATTGCACTGTTCTGGGCTCGCGAGCCCGTTCTTGCGCCGTTCTTGTTGAAACAGAAAGTCCCAGTCCTGATTGGCCTGAGCCAACGCACTTGTAAGTGCATATACCTACTCATCTATCGTTACTTTTAATTTTGCAGATCCTGACAATTGACCATGAACCTCTTAGGTAGCCGTCTGCAACTTCACAATTATGTACTTCTTTCCCATCTTTTTTGAAACGGTTATGTTAACTTCTTCGACTGCCGGTATGCTTATTCCTCTTAAATCCTTTATACTTGGGCTCACTTCTTCTGTAGGAGCACATTTGCTGCCTAACAGTGTAGCCATGTCCGTGCGTTCCGTGTTTGCAGGTTGGGTCATGTCCAAGACCGAGCGTTACAAAACCTTGGATACAATTTTTGGCATTCTGCCAGTCGTCGCTTGTCCTCTTGCAATAAGTCTTCAAATCTTCTTTTGATCCGTTGGGGTGAGAATTCGGGCGTATTCGTGCAATGTTTTAGTAATGTATGTGGTTATAATATGTTTGGAAACACATCCACACTTGCCTGACAATACAATGTACACGCACTTAGATTCCCCTTGGGTTCGGTCATGCGGTGGTGCTGCAAACTACATCGAGTAGGTTCATCTTCTTATTCAAACATTTAGAGGGAGGCTGATTGCCATTTCCTAGTAGCTCTGTTGGTTCACGTTAATCGTTCGTATCCCATCTTTTAATTCTGTACCTAAGGTCAAGCTCTGATTCTCTCGATTAGAGTTTAGAATGACGGCAGCAACCGGTTTCTCTCACCTGTGGCATAAAGTTGGTGCGTATCTCGCTATGAATACCACTGCTAAGTCATAGGAATCTCGCTTCAATAGGTATCGCAGGCGTAGCTTTCCCCTCTGCGATCTTCCAGGCTGTGCTTGACCGGGAGCTGCCCAAGAGGATTACAGGACCTGGGACGGAAGAGGTTCGTTCTTTCCAGTTATCCTAGATGCTTGTCGCACATTTACTAACTGCTACCTCGCCCTTTCAGACGATCCGACGTATTCGCCATTCACCCCGTCTGGTCATTTCACTTCCTCCGAACCTACAATCCGCTACACGAGCATCTTATGGTATCGCTCCCGTCAAGTATTCACATTCGCCGCAGTGGCAACAGTCCTTGCATTCATAATTCGCTTAGGTGTAGAAGTTTCCTCATATTATTCTTATTTCATTGTGTACTGATTCTTCACAATTTTCTTAGATCGATGAAAAAAATCTCTTGACGAAGAAGAGATCCCAGATAGACCACACATAAGCCAGATGGGTCCCGTCACCATCGTCCGATTTCGCAACATGCGATTGACGTTGAACAACCCGCTATCTTGTCTCCTGAGGATGTTCGGAATGGCAACGTATGGTATAATGGACCTTGAGGGTCCTATGGCGGGATCTGCTAGGCAATGATATAACATGAGGTTGGATATTTTATAGGTCTACGCTTTATTTTTTGTTTGTTGAATAAGTATTAGAATTTTCATGAAGGACTATTGGAAACGGAGTACATACCAATTTTTGATGTATTTAATCATACCCACATAAGTTATTTGATCCTTTTAGCTGCATAATCTTTGCTTCTATACCTTTAACTGCGTAGATTAATTCTTCCCCATTAAATATATGGATAAGGTTGGGAAAAGGAGGCAAAATTGTTCTGAAGCATGGCAGAAGGCTTGTACAAAGTACAAAATAAATCTCCGAGACCGGGATCGAACCAGTGACATTCAGATGAGGTATCCGTTACAGTCTGACGCTCTTCCAACTGAGCTACTCAGAGATTGTTAGGATGCTTTACAATATTCATATCATCCGCTACCACATTGATTAGTATTAGTAGTGCAGGTTCACATCACATTGACTGAATTTGATCACATAATAAGCTCCATGGATGCGACTCTTTCAGCATCCTCCTCGTCTCTTTCATTCTTCATTTTCGTCGTTATCATATTCCTGTAAGCCATCTCCATCCTATCTCGTCACGTCTGACAAACTTACCAATCGACGAATCTACAGCACATTCTTCCTCGCCTGGCTTATCATCTCCTCCTGTCTCGGTGTCTCCCTGCGACGTGGAATATCCGAACTATGGCAAACGTCAGTAGAGGGAGCGAGGTTCTCCTCTTCACCTGGTGCGCTGGGTCGACCGCGCATGGGAGCCTATGATGATTGGGAGATGGAGATGGAGACGAGGAGGAGGCCGATGTGAATGAGGATCTGTTTTTTTTCGGGATGTTGGGGCGAAGGATGCACTATACCTTTAAAACCATTATACCAGTATCCTGTTCATCAACACGGATATGCTCAGGAGATTGAGACGTTCACGACATGGAGCTGGAGCAGACTCCAGAGATTCATTCAATTCATTCAGGCTACCAGGTTATCTCATTGGCGACTGGTCATCATGCTGTTCTCTTTTGGCCTACAAATTATGGACATTGCTGCATCTCCTGTCGAACGCATTGATTTCCGTACTATGCCAATCGGTATTGCTATTGTGCCGTGTCATTCGACACTTGAGTATCATTACCAGATGTAGAACTTAACGATGTATTGTCTCTACTTATCGGATAATATGCTTCGGTTTTGAACATGCATCTTATGGGAATGAATTGGTTTATTGAGGCACCGTTGCCAACTTGCGGGCTTTACAGTAAACCGCAACTTAGGCCAGCCCGATAGAAGAATAAACGCGTCTGTAATAATTTTCAACTATGATCAATATAGACAAATTCGACATGAATACCACTTTTGCACTAATTAGTTTCGGAGTGAAATATCACTATTGAAGGCGAATAGCCTCTCAGTACGTTTGACGTGACGTGAGTGGCTAAGAACCGATTTTCACCGAACGCGTCTGCTTTCCTTCTTCGCATTCTCGGCCACAATGGATATCGACAAACTCTTCAACGTGCGTATATTCGCCCTTTCTTCTCAAGAAATATCACTAATGCTATCCCACTCAGCTCCCCAAACTGACTAACAGCAAAAAGCGTCAACTCCCCGATGCCCCAACACCCGAAATGCTCAAACGAATGCGCATGGATACCGAACCGGGACCATCCACAGTGAAGAGCGTCGAAATTCCAGACCCTCCCAAAACAAAGCCAAGAGGAGTGACAGTAGAAGACGTAGATGAGGATGCGGAAGGGGAAGACGAGGACGAGGACGCTGGCGACTTCGCGCCAGGAGGGGATGCAGATTACTTTGCTGAGGAGGATGAAGAAGGGAGATTCTTCGGTGGTGGACTGACGGATGAGCAGAAGACGATTTTGAATATTTTTGAGAATGCGGGGGATAATCAGGAGGTTGGTTTGCTTTCTTATTATTTCTCGTCTCTCTGTCCTGACTGTTCTCCTTCTGGTTGGCCTTATAGGTGGATGACTTGACTGCGCCTGGGATAAGAAGACTACTTCTTCGATTCGAACGTGCAATGAAGAAGAATCAGGACCAGCGGTCTAAATATCCTGACGATCCAACTAAGTACGTGTCTAAACCCTGCTTCCTATTATGTTTACTTTCTGACCTTGTACCAAGATTTATCGATTCCGAAGCCGATTTGGACGCTGCTCTTAAGGCCTTATTACCTCTCCCACAAGTACCCACCATCGCTTATCCAGAAATCGTTAAAACCGGAACTTCTGCCGCCTTGGTCGATCTCCTGAGCCACGAGAATGCAGATATTGTTATTGATGTTGTGGAATTGATCAAGGAATTAACAGACGAGGATGTTGGTAATGAGTCAGACGACGAGGAGGACGAGGAAGGTAACAGAGAGGAGGCGTTGAAGGAATTGGTTGATGATCTGGTAAGTGCATCATGATATAAAGTTTAGCGTATAATAACAGTACCTGCAGCTAAATCGCTCCATTCTTGAGTTGTTGGTTCAGAATCTCTCTCGGTTTAACGAAGAAGAGGAAAGCGATCGTGAAGGTGTCTTCCATATTCTCGGTGAGCCGACCTAGCGTTTGTATCTTAACTCCTTCTAACGGTGTTCTTAGGCATCTTCGAAAATACATTAGGCTTCAAGCCTGAGCTTAGCGCGCGACTCGTTTCCGAAACCAATATTCTGCCCTGGCTACTTGAACGAATAGGTAGCAAAACGCATGATGCCAATCGAGGTTATGCCGCCGAGGTCTTATCGATATTACTGCAAGATAACAGACAGAATCGGTTGAAGTTAGGAGAGAAGAACGGCGTTGAGATTCTGTTGAAGGTCATCTCTGTATGTACAATTATTCTATTTTGCTTTTGTGCCCATTTAATGTTCTCTCCAGCAATTCAGAAAACGAGATCCAGTAGATGCAGACGAGACGGAATTCATGGAAAATTGCTTTGATGCGCTATGTTCAGCACTCATCGAACCAGAAATCAAGAAGCCTTTCCTCAAGGAGGAAGGTGTTGATTTGATGGTCTTGATAATGAAGTACGTCAATTATCGTCACGTTTGCCTTATGGTTTCTGATATTTAGGTCAGAGAGAAAAATCAATCTCGTTCCCGGGCAATCAAGACTTTAGACCACGCCATGTCCGGTGTAGCGGGCAGTGCGAATTGCGAAACATTCGTCGAGGCGTTTGGTTTGAAGACGTTGTTCTCCGCATTCATGGGCAAGGTCTGTCCATTCATCGACGCACCTTTTTCGATATGTCCTAACAGTGCCGTGCAGCAGGATAAGAAAGGAAAGGGCAACGCAACTGCCGCTCCAGCGTCTGAAGATACATCTCACATCCTTGGTATCATGGCGTCCCTATTCTCAAATCTCGAGTCAGACTCGGCTCCAAGAGTTCGATTACTGACCAAGTTCGTGGAAGAAAATTACGAGAAGGTAGATCGGCTCCTCGAGATTAGGGAAAACGCAGACGCAAGATTAAAGATCGCAGAAAAGGAGATCGAGCAAGAGCGGAATGTAAGCTCTCTATTCCACCTTCGGCTTATTTACCAAGGACTAAATTCTTGTTCTAGGACTTGATCGCAGATGGTGTGGTCGTCGGAGAAAATGAGCAAGATACCTGGTACCTACGACGACTAGATAGCGGTCTTTTCGTGCTGCAAACCGTGGATTATATACTTGGATGGCTATGCATGGAAGATGACGGGGTATGTTGGCTTCAATGTCAGTCTTCGTACATCTGCTGAAATCTTTATCTTGCAGATTCGCTCTCACGTTTCCATGATAATCGGAAGAAAGAACAAGACCTTGAAAGACATCGTCGAAGTTCTGAAAGTATACCGTGACAACGTGGGAGAGGACGAGATGCGGACAGATGATGCTGAGGCAGCGCCTTCCCAAAGAGAAATCCTTGAAGGCCTAATCGCTTTTTTGGAAGGTTGTTAAATATTACATTATGTGTACAATGTGTATACCGCAGTACTTTTATGGTAAATATAATAAGATATCATGATGAAGTCGTCGGTGCTGTAACATTACTCAGAGCAGCAGATGAAAAGACCATTTCGAGGGCTCCTCGGAGGGAAGCCAGCTGTTTTTGGAATCGAAGCTCCATGTCAATCTTTTTGCGTAATTGCACGAAGAGCCCATCAATGAGAGGTGACTGGCCAAGGACAGGCGAATACATGTCTGCAGGGATTATTAGCTATGAATATGATTTCGTAGGACAAACATACCTATCAGAATCTTTCCGACATTGCAGGTTATCTCGCCGAATCGTGGATCTGTAACATTCTTCACCAATAATCGGAGGATTGGCTCAAGCATGACATCGTCCCGTCCAGTAAGCGCCGCTCGGATGCCATCTCTGTGGATAAGTTCTTGGATTAAAGAGAAAGTCGTCGTCGGCTTAACTTGCTGTATTTCGGCTATTAGCGACATTGATTCACAATAGATGGGATTTTACGAACCTTGCGCAACACAGAGTCTAATGCCGCGCCATATTTAAAGGCCTTCAGCAGTCGATCGTACTCGCGTAATCTCTTCTTGCGCCTGCTCTCGACGCGGAATTCATCGAAGCTATCCAAAGTTTTTGACTTTCCTTTTACATCTCTCCGTGGTCGCCCCTCACCAATGGCAGGCAGCGAGCCTCCAAGGAATGTTTCATAGGTACCGGCTCGCAGGGCTTCACTTGGGATTAAAGAATCGTCTCCAGCTTGCGAAGCTTTGGGATCCCGTCGGCGTACAGATAGCGTCCCGTCAGACATACCTGCCGCAATATGGGTATCATCAGGCTAATACGATCCCGTCAGTAACGACAAATGACAAAAATAAGATAACCATCTCACCGAGATAGCCAAACAAAGGATATTCGACGGATATCGCATGGTATGAACGACCTTGTACGAGCTGACGTCGTACACTTTAACCATTTGATCCAAACCACCAGTCAAGAGTCTACTTGCATCACTGTTGAACGCTAGAGAAGTTACGGTCTTCTGATGATTGGAAAGAGCACGAAGGCATCGACCTCCGGCAACCAGATCCCAAACGCGCAGGATGGGACCAGCAGAGGATAGCGCTAGGGATCCGGAGGGGAACAGCAGGACTTGTTCTACTGGAATATTGCCTGCCGAGCCTACTTTGCCCCCTCCTCCCATGAACATTTCGCATTCTCCCGACCTGGCGTCAAAGAGACGAACAGTGGAATCATATGATCCAGTAAGAATCAAATTCTGATTTGATTGCGATACGAGACCCGAGCGAACGTAATCGGTATGAGAGGTGAAGGTAACAATTGGCGATTGCGAAGGAACATCCCAAAGTTTGACGGTGGTATCATCGGAGCAGGAGAGGATTTGGGTATGATTTGACGGAGAAAACTTCGTAA